AAACAGCAGCGATTCAGCCAGAACGGCTGGTCTGGGGAAGCGCAGGGTGGCGCAGAACTAACCTGCACCTCGCTCCCTCCCCAGTTACCTCCTCACCAGCTTCTACACCAAGTACGACCCCGCGCACTTCATGATCAACACCGCCTCCCTGCTCAGCGTCCTCCTGCCCAAGCTGCCCCAGTTCCACGGCGTGAGGGTCTTTGGCATCAACAAATACTGAGCCCAGGCTCCCACCGTGCTGCGCAGAGCTTCCCACGGGATGGCAGAGCTGGAGGTGGGCGGCTGGGCAGAGCTGTGGGCTGCGGGGAGGATGCAGGAGCAGGGCTGGGCGCGGGGCTGCCGTGCAGTTTGCATGCAGGTCTTTTTGCAAGGGCTTTTTTGGCAAAGTCCTGCGTCTCTTAGGAGTGCCTCACTGAGGCCTTCTCTCTTGGTGCTTTGGTGAAGAGGTGAGCGGTGGGGCTGCATGGAGCGAGTGAGGCGTGTTGCATGTGTGCTTCCCTTAAGGTAAAGCCCTGCATGGCAATGGGGAAGCACGCAGAAGGGGAGAACTGTTGACTGGTGGGAAGAGTAACCACCCCACGCCTCCTTTGTCTTCATGTTTTGTACATGTCCGTAATAAAGAACTCACAGAGCAGAGCAGCGTCCTCACATGAAGGGAAAGCAGCAGCCCAGTGCTTGCAGCACATCCTGCATGGCCCCCGTTGCTGTTCCGGAGTCCTACGGTTCAGCTGGTTCCAGCAGTGCCACCGCCTATGGCACATCAGCTTAGAAGCTCCCTGATTACTTTTCAATATATACATCCGTTTAAGAAAACAACAACAACAAAAGAAAAAACAACAAAAAATAGATTTTATTTGAAAGAAGAGCCCTTGTAGTGCCCAACAGAGCACCATCGTCCCCGGCCAGGGAGAGTCCGTGAGCGCCGAGCCGGGCCTCAACGCGCAGCCCTGCACAGCTCAGCGCTGGAAGGGCCGGCGCACCTTCTTCCTCCTCTTGTGCTTGGTGTCACTCTTGGGGGCGGCCCCCTCGGTCCTTGTGGTCCCAGCTGTGGCCCCCTGGGGAGCTGTGGGGGCAGGGGGAGGCGGGAAGCCCCCAGGCACCTGTCCTGAGGTCCCTTGGAACACGCGGGTGAAGAAGTCCTGCAGGTCGGCGGCAGAGCTGGGGCTGCCCTTGGAAGTGCTCCTGCTGGTGGGAAGCAGAGCCGGGTGGGAATCCGGGGGTCCCAACGCAGCCCCGGTGCCCACGCACAGAGCTCCTTGCTTTGCCCAGCCCCCGGGGCTCCCCATCCCGCTGCCAGCTCTCACCTCTGCCGCCCGCCCGCGCCAGAACTCCGCACCCCGAAGGAGATGTGGTAGGGGACACGGTGGGTGTCGGGGCAGATCCCCACGCGCTGACAGCCAGCCCACTCTGTGGGAAGACACGCGGCATCACGGGGGGCTCGCGCTCACCCTGCTGACGCCCAGGGACGCGATGCGCCCACCTGTGATGTCGTAGACCTTGCCGTCCATCACGGCAAAGTAGGTGATCTTCAGCCCCAGCAGGCTGGACTCAGCCCACAGGTCGCCCTCCTCGGCGGGGTGCAGCTGGCTGCACTCGGCGCAGTAGCGGGCGCTGAGCGGGTCGCGGTCCATCTCAAACCTCCTGCAACAGCAGCGCCATCTCAGCCCCCGGCGCGGCTCTTCAGGGACGGCCTGGAGCCCCGGGCCCTACCTGTGCTTGCCCTGGCACTTGCTGCACATCATGGTGTTCATGGCCTCCTTCAGGTCATCCTGCAGCCGGCTCAGGAACTCGCTCACCGATCTGCTCAGCTCGCTCTCTGCCATCCTCTTCCTGCGGCCGCCGCGGGGACAGAGCCGCAGTCAGAGCCCTGCGTGGGGCCAGCAGCCAAAGCACCTCCGAGATGCGAGCTTTGGGGCAGGAACTGGAGCGGGCAGCCCCCCTTCTCCCAGCAACCCACCCCACAGCAGCGCACTCACATCTCGTACTCCTTCCTCTTCTCGGGGCTGCTGACGATGTCCCACGCCGCTCGCAGCACCTTGAAGGCCTCCTCAGCTCGCGGGTGCTCACTTTTATCCGGATGAACCTGGAAAGCACAGAGGACTCAGCGCTGCATCCCGGCGAGGCCGCGAGCAACGCGCAGCCGCCACGCACCAGCACGGCCAGCCGGCGATACGCCTTCCTCAGCTCCGCATCCGACGCCGTCATTTCCACTCCCAGCGCCTGGAAGGGGTTCAGCTCCTCCTCAGGCACCTCGGCCATGGCCAGCAGCCGGGACACCTCCTCCGCGGAGCTGCCGGGAGCTCCCACGTCGCAGCCGGGCACTGCATCCCCCGCCCGCAGCTCCTCGGGTGCGCTTCGCCACCTCCGCCACCGGGCCCAGAGGCGCCACCAAGTCCCATTCACCCCGAGGAACCCGCGCGTCCGGCGGAGGACGGCGGAATCGAGCAGCTCCGCCAGCCGGGTCCTGCCCAGCGCGCTCACGCCGGCGGCCAACAGACGCCAGCAGAGCCGCAGCGCGCCCAGCAGCAGCACGAGGAGCAACAGCAGCAGCGCGCACAGCATCCACAGCAGCCGCAGCGCCAGCTCGCCGCCTGCCCGCAGCCCCCGGGCCGCCCTCAGGCCGACTCGCCGCGTCCATCCGCGCACGCCGCCCGGTGCCGTCCCTCCTATCCCGGCGCTCAGGCAGGAGCACAGCGGGCTCAGCGCCGCTTCCAGCAACGCCTTCAACCGGGCCCCGCCGCCCCGCCGCCCCCGGCCGCTCTCCTCCTTCTCCTTCGGGGCGGAACGCGGCCGCTGTCTCCTCCGCAGCCTCCGGGTCGCCCTCCCCGGGTCCTCGTCGCCCTCCTCGGGGCCGGGCTCGGTACGCCGGCGGCAGCCCAGAGCGCAGGATCCGTCCCGGGGCGGGGGGGCCCGGGGCGCGGCTCGCTCCCCCCGGCAGCCGCAAGGACCGGGCCCGTCGGGGGCCGAAACGCCGTCCCCGTCTCCTTCCTCGTTGCCGTCGTCTTCGGGCGGTTCCGGCCCGCAGTCCCCGTTCCAGGCGGCGCTGCGCGGGGGGCTCCGGGCTGAACGCTCCCGGCCGCCGCCGCCGCCCCCCGCGGCCTCCGGTGGGGGCTGAGCCATGGCGGCGGCCCGGGCCCTACGTCACCGCCATCGTCCCCGTGCCTGCAACCGGGAGCGGGCTCAGCGCCGCGGGATCGCCGCCAGGGTTGGGATCCGAGCCGGGGAGGCCCGCGGGCACAGGGGAGCGGAACGGCGGCCGCCTACGGCGGTCGGAGGACGAAGCGGAGGCTCCGCGGTGCCGCCGCCCGCCGGGGCCGCTCTCACCGGTGCCGGCGCGGGGGGGGGTCCGCCCCCGCCCCCCCCCCCCCCCCCGGGTCCCTCACGCTCCTCACTTCCGCCTTCCGCCCGCCCGCCGCAGCCGCCGAGCTCACTTCCGGGGGCGTGGCCCGACGTCGTGCGTCACCTCCCTCGCCACGCCTGCTAACGGCCCCGCCCCTTTAACCCCTTCGTTGCCGGTCTCGGAGCCCGCCCGGTGCCCCCCGTGCATCTCGGGACACCCCGAGGAGCCCTGGGAGACCCGCAGCGCTCCGTGCGGCGCCTCGGAGGACTCCGCGGAACCCAAACCGTGCCCTAGAGCACCTCGGGGTGCTCCTCGAGTTCCTCAGCGTGCTCTGCGGGGTGCCCTAGAGGGCTCCATGCACCCCCCCCGTGCACCCTAGGGCATCCCAGAATACTCCCCGAGCTCCTCAGTGCCCTTTGGGGCGCCCTAGAGGACTGTAAACACAACCCCCCGTATTCCTTAAGGCATCCCAGAATACTCCCCGAGCCCCTCAGTGCTCCGTAGGACACCCTAGAGGTCCCCAACATCCCCCCGTGCGCACCCGCGCATCCCATAATACTCCCAGAGCTCCTCGGTGTGCTCTAAGGGGCACCCAAAGGCTCCGCACTGCGCCCTGTGCGACTCTAAGCACCCTTCCGATTTACTGCAGGGCTCCCCCAAAGCTCCCAGTTACGCCCTATGGCCCCACACAGCCCCCCCCCGGTGGGGTCCTCCGCCGGCCCCCCTGCGACGTGGCTGCGATGCGGCATTCGGGCACCAGGCGGCGGCCGTGAGCCGAGCGGAGACCCGTCCCGAGGTCGGTCTCCGAGTGTCGGGGCACGGGGATGGAGGGATGGAGGGATGTGGAGGGATGGAAGGATGGAGGGATGTGGAGGGATGGAGGGATGGAAGGATGGAGGGATGGAGGGAGGGATGGAGGGATGGACAGATGGACGGATCGAAGGATGGAGGGATGGATGGATGGAAGGATGGAGGGATGCAGGGATGGGAGGATGGAAGGATGGAGGGATGGAAGGATGGAGAGATGAAGAGATGGAGGAATGGAAGGATATAGAGGAATGGAGGGATGGAGGGATGTGGGGCACTGGAGCATGGTTCCCTTGAGAGAGGGTTTGACGCCGGGGGGGGGGGGTGGTCAGGGGGCACTGTTTTCAAACAAAAGAAAGACTTTAGGGTAAGATCCATAGAGCACAGGGAGGCAGATGTATGTACACTATATACAGAGGCACAGGTGGCATTGAGACCCCCCTGCCCGCCATCCCTCCTCTTCTCCCATCCATTGGAAATGATGGGAGGTGGGGCTGTGTCACCAAGGAGGGTGGGGGTGAGGGCAAAGGCATCGAGGGGGACAACAAAAATGTGGGGGGCGGGGTGGGGGTGGGGGGTTGCCTGCAGAGATGGGGGGGGTGTGGAACTCTTTGGTTTCGACACTGTGGCTGCACAGGTCTGCTGTGTCACACCCAGCAATACCCTTCTACCCCTCCAGAGGAGCACGGCACCCCCAGACCAAGGAGGGCTGTGTGGTGCGTCCCCCCTCCCCCCCCAGGCCACACACCTGTGTTAGGTGGGGGACCCCCACGCCCCTCCCCAAAGGCACTTTGGCCCCACACACCCCGCCTGCACGCCGGGTGCTCCTCCCCCTTCCCCCCCCCCTCCAAATTCAAGAGAGGGAGTTGAGGAAGTGGCTCTCCCCAGCCAAGGTGCTCAGCATGGAGCTCATGTCACCCACAGCCATGTTGGCACCGCCGGGTGCCGGCAACAGGAGACCCCCAGGGGGGCTGGGGGGGCCGGGCAGGAGCGTGGAGCTCTCTGCATCCTCCACGATGGCAGCGAAGTCCAGGTGAGTGTTCTCCAGGTCCAGCGAGTCCAGGCTGTTGAATGCCTGCTGCCCCGAGTCTGGGTAGAAGCAAGAGCTGCCTTTGTTGCCCCCCAGGCTCCCAGTGCAGTGCCCGGGACCCCCACAGCTTGCAGCGGGCGGACCCTGAAGCTTGTGGCTGCCTTTGCCCACCTGGCCCGGGTAGCAGAGCAGCGTGTCACCGGGCACCTCGGGGGCAGGATGGACGGGGGGCAGACGCAGCCCGCGCTGGGGGTTGGCACCTGCTGCCTCATAGGAGGGGTTGGGCTCTGCCAGGTTGCCCCCATAGCCCACGCTGTTCTGGTGTCCCGGTGGCTTGGCACCGCTGGGGGGATGCGGCGCCATTTCAGGGTTAAAGCACGGGGGGCTCAGGAGGTGGGGGTTCTCCAGCAGCCCCTGCAGGTGATTCGTTTTGGGCTGGTAACCGGAGTATTTGGGGCCCAGGTAGGGCGGTGCGCGCGTGCCCTGGTACTGCCCAGACTCACCGCCCAGCCCCATGCCGGCCTCGCCAGCCCCGGGGGGCTCCCCCCACATCAGAGCCTGCTGCGCCTGCACGTAGCTGCGGACCATCACCTCTTTGGCCTGCAAAGTGGGGGTGTGGGCCCTCCTCCCCCGCGAGCTCAGCACAGCCACGTAGCTGCTGGCTGTCTGCTCCTCGGCCCGGTACCCGCTCACGGTTTGGCCGAACGTGGGCTGTTGTGCGGCTTTGGCATTCTGGCACGGAATGAGGGCCGGGGCCGGCGCCGAGTACCGCTGCTCAGATTTGATCTGCAGGCAGTTCAAGCGGTGCCCATCAGAAAAGCCGCCATCCTGGCACGCGCTCATCAGCCTTGGGTGCTGCACGCAGTGGCTGGGCGGTGGGTACGGAGCGGCGTGACGGTGGCAGTGCGTCTCAGCCATGGCTCCGAGTCCCGGCTGCCCAGAGCTCAGCTCCAGATGACCGCTTGGTTGGGGTTCCTCCCACTGGGGCAGCACGGCCCCGCTGCCAGCTCGCAGGCCGGGGAAGTGCTGGTTCATCTGGCACTGCGGCAGGGAGAACTCGGGCTGCAGCAGTCCCTCCTCCATCTCTCCGTGCCCACATGGGTTCAGCTGCATTCCCCCACCCGGGGTCCGCGGAGCGCTGCCGTACAGACCCCCACACTGCAGCTGCACGTTGGCCCCCTGGCACGGGAAGCTTTCCTCAGGGTAATTCAAGAACGGGTCCATTTCCAGCAAGCCGGACTCCGCGCCAGGTGCGGGGCCCTCGGCGTTCACGCTCTCCAGGTAAACATTCTCACTGATGCTGGGGGGGCGCGGGGAGAAGCCTCGGAGCTGGAGGGCGGCGTCGGAAGCAGGCAGGGGCTGCAGGGCAGCTCTGCTCCCTCCCGGCGCGCTCACGTTCCCCGCGCTTTTAAAACGCTGCACTTTGGGCACAGCGTGGCACTGAGGGTCGGCGGCGGTCCGGGCCGGGTCGCTGGCCCTCCTCGCCCCGTTCCCAGGCACCAGATGAGGGTGAAGGCTGCTCACGTAGCGCTCGTTGGAGCTGTGCCTCCGCAGCAAACCGTTCGTAAAGAAGGGGGGCACGGCCGGCTCGAGGCAATCCCCGGGCAAGCCGCCGTGGCCGCCCGTGGGCAGCGGCTCCACGCTGGGCAGCGGGGTCGGGGGCGGCCCGCCCGTAGCCGCGGCGTATTTGGCTCTGAGGCGGTAGCGCTGCGCCGGGCTGAGGCCGCCCACACCGGGCAGCGCTCCGCAGGGGTTGGCGCTGCCGGAGCGCCGCGGCTCATCCGGAGAGAGCCGCTCGTAGCCATCCGAGCATCCCGGCATCGTCCCCGCCTCGCCGGCCGGGTTTGGCCCCATCAGGTACGGGGACGCGGCGGAGGAGCGGCGGCTGACGGTGTAGGCTGAGCTGACGGTGCTGGTGGCGCTGCTGCGGCGCTCGCTCGGTGGAACGGCCAGCTCTGCCGCCGACAGATCCGCGATGCGGCGCTGCGATGCGGCCGGCGGCACGCAGAGCCCGGGCCCATCTCCGGGCGGACCTGGAAGAGAAGGGCAGTTACTCCTCCAGGGCCACCGCACGGCCGGTGCCTGCGTGACGCCGAGCTGAGCGGCGAGCCCGACGCACTGGGAGGAAGGGAAGCCGTCCAGAGGGACCCGGACGGGCTGGAGAAGTGGCGCCACGAAGAGCTGATGGGGTTCAGCAGGGCCAAGAGCGGGTGCTGCGTTTGGGTCGGGGCAAAGCCAGGTGTTGCTGCAGACTGGGGGAAGAGCTCGAGAGCAGCCCGGAAGGGCAGCTGTGTTCCGGGCTGCTTTAAAAGAGGGGCGGCCAGCAGGGACAGGGAGGTGATCGTCCACTCTGCTCGGCTCTTGTGAAGCCCCATCTGCAGCGCTGCGCCCAGGCCTGGGGCCCCCAGCACAGGAAGGACGTGGAGCTCTGGGAGCGGGTCCAGAGGAGGCACTGAGATGAGCAGAGGGCTGGAGCAGCGCTGCTGTGAGGAAAGGTTGAGGGAACTGGGCTTGGAGAAGAGAAGGCTGTGGGGAGACCTCATGGTGGCCTTCCAGTGCTTGGGGGGAGCAGATAAACAGGAGGGGGAACGGCTGTTTGTGAGGGTGGGTGGTGATGGGACAAGGGGAATGGTTTTAAAGTGAGCCAGGGGAGGTTCAGGTGGGATATGAGGAGGAAGTTTTTCACACAGGGTGGTGAGGCACTGGAACAGGCTGCCCAAGGAGGCTGTGGATGCCCCATGCCTGCAGGCATTCAAGGCCAGGCTGGATGTGGCTCTGGGCAGCCTGGTCTGGTGGCTGGCGACCTGCGCACAGCAGGGGGTTGGACCTCGGTCCTTTTCAACCCAGGCCATTCTATGATTCTATGAAATGATTCTATAGGATTGAAGTAAAAAACGGGGCACAGCTCCCAGTGTGTGCGCCAACAGCTCCCTGCTGCGCACCGCATCCAGGAGGTCTCACCGGCTCCGGGGATGGCCGGCAGATTCAGGCCCTTGGTAGCCGACGGCTTCCTCATCTGCTTCAGTTTGTCAATGCGAAGGTTCTCGAGCTTCTGCAGGGCCATCAGCCCCGAGGTGCCCATGGGCTCCCCAGGCACCACCTCCTCCAGCGTGGACAGGTCCTCGTAGCTGCCCCCCGTGTTGCCCGTCATCTCCACGCCGCTGTCGTTGTTGGTGGTGCTGCCGAGGGGCGAGCGGTCACTGCTGCACGATGACTGCCCACCAGGGCTGGGCTGTGGCTTCTGGGGGCGGACCAAAGGAAAAAGAAGGGTCAGACATCCATTAATGCAAACCGGGATGCAAACCGACTTCGCCGCCGCCGCCAGCAGCCCCTGGCTCCTCACCGAGGCGAAGTCGGGCACCAGCAGCTTGCTGTCATCCTTCCGGATCTCAGCAGGGCCGTTGGTGTTTTTCTCCTGCTTCATGTCCTGCGGTGCCCCGGAGGCAGGCAGCGTGTGGCCAGGCACCGCACTGCCCCGGTGCTTCTTGGTGACGTGGGCATCGGGGCCGTGCACCGTCTTCACGTGTTTGCGCAGGGAGCTGGGATCCGTGTAGCGCTTGGTGCAGCCCGGGATCTTGCAGATGTACGGCTTCTGTGGGGGGAAAAAGGTGCAAGGAGGGGTTAGGATTGGTTGGATGTGATCCTCGAAGGTCCCTTCCGGTGGAACCGCTGCGTTTCATTCCATTCCAAACTCCTTCCAACGAAGGACCAGAATCCCCTCCTCATCCTCTCCAGTAGATCTGGGAGCTGAGGAAACAGAGGGTGGGAAGGACAGAGACTGGATCCCTCTGTGGGGTGTTAGAGGTCATAAAGAGGAAGAATGTAAGGACAGAGTGTCCCTGCATGGCGCGGGGATAAAGGGATCCTGGTGGGTAACCTCGGAAGAAAGGAACCTGGGGATCTATTGCAGTGGGCAAGAAGAGAATCAAAGAATCATGGAATGTCTCGGGTTTCAAGAGACCCCAAGGATCATCAAGCTCCAATCCCCTGCCACATGCAGGGCCACCAACCTCCACATCTCAAAAGTCCCAGGGACCAACAGCAGCCCAAGGGGAACCCAGAGGGCGGCAGCCCCAGATGTACCTCATTGGAGTGGGTGCGGTTTTGGTGCTTGGCCCGGTCGGAAGCGTTGGAGAAGGCTTTGTTACAGCCCTCGTGTTCGCACACGTAGGGTTTCTCACCCGTGTGGGAGCGCAGATGTGTCTTGAGGTTCTCCAGGCGGGAGTACGCTTTGTTACAGCCCTCAAACTGCACGGGAGAGCGGAGCAAAACACGGCTCAACCTTAAACAGACCCTGCATGACCGCAGCGCGCCGCCCGCAGCCCCTTCGCCCTCCTGACCCGTGCCACGCTGCACCCCCACCCGCCACGCACGCCTTGGCTCCACGCGCAGCTGTGCCACCACACAGGGCTCTGGGCGCCCGCACCAAATTGCTCCGCGTGCCGCCAGGCTGCCGACCAACCCGCCTCATTCTCCAGCCCCGAGTGCCCCGCAGTGCCACACGCCGCCCTCAGCTCTGCGAAAAACCCCGTCCCATCTCACCGTGCACTTGTGAGGCTTCTCGCCCGTGTGACGCCTCATGTGCACCACCAGCATGTACTGCGCCTTGAAGGGCCGCTGCTCCCGCGAGCACGCTGCCCAGTGGCACACGAACTCCTTCTTCTCCCCGTGGATGTGCTCGTTGTTGATGTGCTGGGGAGAAGAGGGAATCACGAGGGGCACCGGGGAGGGCACCGAGTGTCAGGGGTAAATTGAGACGAGACGTGGGAAAACGCGGATATGGAGGGAGAGGGACGGGCGGGGGAGACGCTGGGGGAATAGAGAGAGGTCAGATGGCGTGCGGAGGAAGCAGGGGGCACTGGAAGTGGCTGGGGGCTAACTGGGGGTGGCCAAGAGAAGATATGGGGGTCATGGAGCGTCTGAAGGGAGGCACGGAGAAGAAAGCAGGGAGTTTGGATGCACCAGAGCTTCGGGAGAGCTGGCTCAGGGCTGAGGAAGGGCAGGCTGGGTGGCGTCCCTTGGCACACGGTATGGGAAGATCACAAAGAACTTGCCCAGGTGAAGAGGAGGATGCATCTCCCTCCCTTCCAACACCGCTCACCCGTGTGGTGAGTTCTAGAAGTGGTGGGGAGAGCCGCAGGTTCAGCCCAAGACAGGGCAGTCTGAGCAGGAGCGAGGGGTTGACACAGCGGCACGTCAGCCAGTGGCCCGAGCACAGGGTCGGGGACGTGGGGCGCCCAGGTAGGACCTAACTCACATGCACCAGCTGCTCCTGCGTGTCAAACTCCTTGGCACAGCCATCCCAGTAGCAGTTCGTTTCATAGATGGTCTCAAATTCGGGTTTCCCATCCTCCTTCTCCAGATCTTCCCGAACGCTGAGCATCCCCAGCAAGGGGTCCTGGAGGAACGCGGCCGGGTGAGAACTCCAAGGCGGGATTCTGTGTCCTCCCTGCCCCTGGGAGCAGCACAGGGGAGAGCGTGGAGCTGTTGGGAGCAGGGGAGTCCAAAGGCCCGGGGAGTACCTGTGTGCCTGCGGAGGCTGGACTGGAGATGTCACCCTCAGATTTCTCCTCTGCGTATTTGGCTGTCAGAGGGCTACTCAGGCTCCTCTCCAACTTCAGCTGCTGCAGTGGCAGGGGGAAATTGCAAAGCAGTCAGCAGCAGGACGCCCACCCGTTACGTGGGACGCACAGCATCCCTGCAGCCCCGTACCTGGCAGTGTTTGAGGGGCCCACGAGCCGGGGTGTGATGGAGGAGCCCCGGGCGGGACGACAGGGTTTCGTGGGAGCTGCACGGTGGCAGGGGTGGAGTGTGGCTGAACAGTTGCCCTTGGCCCTTCTGCTGCCCCGGAGGGTTCTGGTACCCCAACGATGGACTGCAAAGAGCAACAGGGATATGTAGGCGACACCAGCATAGGACAGGAGTTTGGGCAGGGATCTGAGCTCCCAGCAGCTCCTGCCCTAGCACACCAGCCTCATTGCCCTCCCGCTCTGGGATAACTGCTCCCAGTTTGGCCCCGGGCATTCCCCAAGCTGGGCAACAGCACTCAGGTTCCTGCACTCAGAGGCTGTCTGCATGCCCGTGAGTCGAAGTCCGGCGCCCACCTGATGCTGCTGATGGAGAGGTGACCATAGGAGCCACTGGCGGAGGCGCAACGGGAGTTGATGAAGGCAACGAGGGAGTTGGGCGAGGTGCGGATCACCGTCTGCAGGTCAACGCTGGAGTCTGACAGGGGTGAGATGGACAGTGCCCGCTTCTTGCCCAGCTTGCCAGCACCACGGGGCGTTGAGAACCGCGAGCCTGGGACAGTGGCAGAGAGTGGAGGGCACCGCTCTTAGGATTGGTCCTGGAAGGCTGAAGCAACTGAAGCGACCCCCAAGGACACAAGCCCGGTGCTTTGGAGCCTGCAGGAGCACCCGGAGCTTGCTGGGTGCTGGGTCCAGACTGTGGCAAAGCTCAGAAGCATCCCTCCTCCCAGTCACAAACCCTAAGGGGTGTCTGAAGATCTGAAGCCCTTGACACGCACCGACTCCTTTCTACAACCTATCCCAGCCCAAAATAAGTGCCCAGTCCTTTTGGCCAACAGCAGCCCCTGCGTGAGCCGACACAGATTTCCCTATTGATAGCAACAACTCTGTCGCAGGAGGGATCCCTGAAGCCCCAACAGCTTCAGCCCTCTCAGCACTGCCAGAGGCGCCCAAACCCCTCATCAACCCCTCACTTGGAGCATGGACTCACCATCAGCACCACCCGGATGCTCGGTGCCGGGCACCAGCCCATAGCCATGGTGACTGCTGGCGAGGCTGGGCGGATGGCACACCGAGAAATCGAGTCCTGGGGGGGAGGGAGGGAAAGGAAGGGTGAAGGGTGTGAGAGGGAGACGCCGAGCCTCCCGCTGAAGGCACGCGTCCATCCCCGGCACCGCGTGTGCTGAGCTGTGACCGACCTTGCAGCGCCGCTGTGCCCGCAGAGGCTCCGTGCAGCGGCCGCGGGCAGCAGTGCTCGGCGTAGCCGGGGCCCTGAGGCGTAACGGGGTTGAACATGGCACAGCGGGGCCTGCCCGGCCTTCAGGGCCGCGTCTGCTCCTCGCCGAGGGGCCGGCGCCCGTCGAGGCCTGCGGAGAGCAAAGCCCCGGCCTCGCGTAGGCTCGGTGCCCGCAGGGGGCGCCGCGGCGCCGCGCAGGCAACGCCCGGGCCTCGGGGCCGCACGGGCCGCGTCCCGAGCAGGCCGCAGCGCCCCGCAGGCCGAGGCCTTCCCACTCTGCCCACACACAGCCCTGTGTGCCCGGCCAAAAGGCCCGGAGCTTGGGGGCGCAGCCCCGGGGTTGGGGAGCAGCCAACCTAACCCTAACCCTGCACCCCACAGCTTGGCGCACATGGGATCCCGGGCAGAAAAGTGCACTCAATGGAACCTCGCCACAGAGCCATGAGACGTGGGACTCCTGTCTGCCCGCCCAGCTGCCCCTCGTAGGGCATCCTGCTGCTGCCCATCTGCGAGCAGACATCAGTTCTGCACTGTGAGAGCGGGGAGGGGCTGAACAGCTGCCCAGAGAGGCTGCGATGCCCCGTCCAAACCTGGAGGTGTTGGAGGCCGGGTTGGATGGGGCCCTGGGCAGCCTGGGCTGCTGTGAAATGGGGAGGTTGGTGGCCCTGCACGGCACAGGGGGGTTGGAGCTCCGTGATCCTGGAGCTCCCTTCCAACCCAGCCGTGCTGTGGTTCTGTGAGCCCCTCATCCTAAAGACTCCCCTCCTCCCCAGGACCAGGGCAGCTTTCTGCACGGGGCACAGATGTGAAGCACGGCTGGGGCTCATGGTGTGCGCCTGGAGGGGAGCAGGGGCTGCTGCCAGGGGAGGGCAGCACGCAGAGCCGCATCCCTCCGTTTCTGGTACAGATTTAGATGAAAAATGGCCTTAAAAATGATCCAGTTTCCAGCCTGTAAAAATTGCAAGCCCTGATGGCCGCAACAAGAATGGAAGGCACAGACGGATGGAGCCGCTCTTGGCCGATGGACCCAGGCTGGCATCACGGTTGCAGATCACTCCCAGCCCTGCCCTGCCCACGGCTCCCCGCCCTGCCTGCAGGCCAAACCCTGCCCCGTCCCACCTACGCAGCCCACGGGGCTCAGCCCTGCCTGGAGCCCGGGCCCCGTTTCCACCCACGGCCTCGGCACCAGCTCCCAGCCCACGGCTCTGCTGCCACCGTCCTGCCCCGGGACCCCCATGGGTTTGCGAGAGAACCGAGGAGCGGGGGAACGGGCGCACGTGGGTGGCACTGCTTCCAAGGCCCCCTCCGCCTCCCCCGCGGAGGAATTGCCCCAAAGAAGGGGGCTGGGGGAGCGGGAGCCCCTCACCCTGCTGGGAAAGAGCTGGGTTGAGTTGGGAGCACAGGGGTGAGGGGGGCAGCGATTCTTCCGCATGAGTTGCCCCTTTGAAAGCTTGTCTAGGGGCTTTGTGAGAGTGTCAGGCAGGAAGAATGGAGGGGGGGCCAGCAGGGCAGCACGGTGGTGGGGCTGGGGGCAGCAAAGGGAAAGACAGGAGGAGGAAATGGAGGAGATGGAGGGGAGGACGGGGGGCTCTTACCTGTGTGCTGCGCCCGCGCCGTGCAGCACGGATGGGGGGAGCAGCTCCAAGGGACGCCCCTCATGTTGCCCCTACCCCAGGTGCAGCATCTGGCAAAGACAGGGTGGGAATTCCTCAAAAAAATGTTGTTCTGTGGAGTCAGGCACAGCTTCCTGCAGTACACGGCTGTGCAGACATGTGCGGGGGCATGAACACGCTTGCACATACACACACATACGTGTAGTCGCCTGCACGCGTGAGCATGCGCACACCTGTGTGCAGACACAAACTGCGTGCTCACATGGGTGCGCAGATCTCTGCGTGCACGCCAGCACACTCACACGCGAGCGCAAACACATTTTCACACATACATACATGTACACACGTGTGTCACCGTGGTTGCTGGGCTTCTGTCTGCATGCAGAGCACTCGGGTCTCGTCAGGGTGCAGCGGCGCTGGATCCCTGCACCTGGGGTGGGGGGACACAGGGTGAGGCGCCCGGCATGCTTTGCTTCCCCTGCTGCAGCTCAGGGGGGCTCATGACACGTCCCCGAGGGGGGACGTGGTGTTCACACCGAGTGCAACACGTGTGTGCGTGTCACATCATGTGCGACATGTGCGCGGCCCCCAGCACCCCCTGACCTGCAGAGCACGCGTGCAACAGCACACAGCACGCACACAGGATCCGCACACGTGCGCACGCTTTGCACGAGCACAAGGGCACACGGGGGGCACGCGGCAAACCACATCCCTGCCGCCCCATAAGTGCCGCCCCATAAGCGCCAGCATCGTGTGCCACGCGCCGCATGGAGGGCCGGGAGCAGCGCAGTGGGTCCCCACTGCTCCCCCCACCCCATGGGTACAACAGGGGGTCACAGAACGCCGCCGACGATGAAGGCTTCGGAGCACCAACCAACGGGGGGGCGATGGGGGCCCCGGCTGCGCGATGCTCCCCGTGGGGTTTGGGGGGGCGTCCCGCACCTCAGCGGCCTCCCGACTGAGGAATCCGGAGCGGGGCCGGGGGACGCGGGGAGCCGATGGGATCCGTGCCGTCATTGCCTCCCTCCCCCCCCCACCATCGCGCTCCCCTCCCCAGCGCCGCCGCCGCCGCCGCGGCCCACCCAAGTCGCAGCCCATGGGCATAAATCTGAGAGCAGGGCGCAGGCGGGATGGAGGGAATCTTCCCCGGCCGCCTCTTGCCAAGAAACTCAAACTGAAACACATTCCTCCTCCTCTCTGCCAAGAAAACACGGATCGCAGCCAGCAGCCGGAGCAGGGCTGGCTCCGGGCGCAGCAGCGCCGCGCAGAAGGGGATTGGGACCGGTGTCCCCCCCCGCCCCCTTCCCCCTTCTGCTTTTTCCCTTTTTTTTTTCCTGCAAAGGCGTTTGATCGCCGTCATCTGGCTCCAGTTTGTGGAGGCCCGGCAGAACGGGGGGGGGGGAGAGAAAAAGGGGGCAAAGGGGCACCGCGGCCCACAGCGCTGAGGGATGGGAAAGG